AAAAAAAAAAAAAAAAAAAAAAGAATAATTCTTGACATATAAAATACAAAATAATAATATTAATAAAGAGTGCCCCATCCCACCCCTTTAACCTAAATTTCATGTACCTATATCTTGTAGGGGAGAAAAACAAAAAGCTTTCAAGTTCAGCATCCTGAGCCAGCTGTAGCCAGCCCTAGGCAGCTCTTGTTAGCTGGGTGGGCTTGGCTCCAGGGGAATCTACCCTGGCCCCCACCTCCTGTTTCCTCACTTCCCCCTTTAGTTTTTGTTAGCCATAGAAAGATGTTCCTTCCTTTTGGACACAACCAGAGAGGAAAGCGCCCATCCCTATCCCTGAACTCAGGGGGAAGGGGTGGGCTTGGAAACAGAGGCAGAAGCAAAACTGCTTGGCTTACAGTACCATTAGGAAATGGCCCCAGGGGTCAGAGTTTCCTTCAGAGACTCTGAGTCACTGAAGGGATGGGTTGAGGTGAAGGCCAGACCCCTCCCTCCTCAGAGAGACCCAGGCAAACTAACAAACAAGGCAAAATGGAGGCAAGTCCTCCTTCTTCATCTTGTCTAATTATTAGCAGTGGCCCATGGCTTTGGGGAATTGTAATAGAATAAGAACCAAAGCCACTGCCAGAAGCCCAGTTAGTCAGGATGTCCACTGCCCCAGGCAGGTGGTCCCCAAGACCAAGGCTACATACAGTACCTCATCTTTTAGAAGCAAGGGAGCTTTGTGAAGCACTCCAAGAAGTGTTTCTCTGATTGCAGCCTCAGGCCACAACCATCCAGCTGCCTGACTCAATACCCTAGCACTGAGACCCAAGTCACAGCAAAAATAAAGGGCTACAATTCTCAAATGACTAAATGCTGGCCTGGAGTCATCATTAAGAGCTAAAACCCAGGACATGAGCCAAAGAGCTATTGACTTTGTCACATAAAGAGCAGTTCAAATATATGAAGCTCTTAAGGCAAACTCAAAATTAAACACATTGTAGAAAGATGGCCCTGGCCTGAGATTCTATACTCCAGCCCATGGTGAAGCTAATCTTGCTGTCTGTCATCCACAAAAGTCCTTTTAGCTTGACTGTGTCCTCCCTCATTGTTGCCTTAAATGGGAAATGGATAATGGTGACCAAAAAAGGAGGGAACCATTTCTTACAGAAAATTTTCCAGGTAATTAAAGACAAACACTTAGATGCTAAAGGTTAGCTTCAGAGCTGCAAGGATTATGGCTGACTAGAAATCTTTCAGCTTCATCACACCAAGAACCTGACTGCTGCCTGGATAGGGAATGAAAAGGACAAGGGCACAGCAAGGTTCATACTATTAACATCAATAAGAAGCATCACTGGACCCATATAGCCCATCGTTCTATATGGGGGAAGCTCAAGGAATAAATCAAAACTGGGCGAACTGTGACACAGAATGACATGGAAATAATTGAGTGTCAGATACTAGATAATCTAAACAGTGGTCAGTCACTTAGTAGGGCTCAAGTATCTGTATCTGAGGTTGCTTTTAAGCTATCCTAACATAAGCCTTTTCTAATCCAAAGATCAGAAGAGGCTTTTAAGGTCAAGTGTTCGTTGCTGTAGTCTGGAAAGCATCCTTGCCCCCTGGCAGCAAGATCCTATAAAGAGGCCAGTAAAGAACTTCTGGGTCAGGTCCTCTTGGGTGTTGGCTCAGAGATCCAGGGAGGAAAATACCAACAAGGTGAGGCGGTAAAGGAAAAGACATTCAAGAGAGAGAAACCCAAATCCTCATGTCTCCTTTCCTTTTTGGCAATAACTTAGTGGGATGGTTGAGAGGGAGAAGAGATTTCAAATGAGCCAAATAAAGAAAAAAATTCAGAAGAAATCAAGTCCCCAACAGGCACTGAAATCAAAATGATCTGTTGTGATAACAAGTCAGAGGCAATTTGAGGACTCGACATAAACTAATTGTCTTGGATACCAGACAGTCCTCTACTGGCACATGTCAGGGAGATAAGCAATGACAAAGTTCAAACACTTAAGGTGGAACCATCATTGGATTAATCCAGAAAGGCTTCTAAGTAAGGAAACCTTTACTTTTTCTTTCTTTTTAAAAATCCCTCTTCTTTTTCCTTTTGTCTTTACCATACAAATTATATACCTTGATACACACACTCTCAATCTCAGGACATACAAAAACTTATTTGGGCATAAGTTCACAACATACTCAACTCGAAGTACTAGTCTTTTCAGGTAATAAGATGATATTTCCCTGCTTTTAATTCCCAATCTAAAAAAAGGAAATGTGATTGCTCTGAGTTCAGAGTCCTTTTCCCAGGTATACAAATGAGGATCCTTGAACAAGAAGAATCCAGTGTACCCTAAGTACCCTCAAGAGGAAACAAATGGCTGGGGGTCAGCCACAAAGAGAGGATTAGGACTTAATTAAGCAGGTCTGGGACCAGGTGGTACATGAGGGCTGTTCTCTACTCACTCTGCCTCTTTTTATCTCTTTAATTTTTGTGTGTGTGTTTGTTTTGTTTTTTCCTTAATCATTGTGAAAAACACAGAAACCAACATGTTCGGTTTCTTTCCCACACCCCTCCACCCTGTTCAGGATGGTCATTTGTTCTCACAACCGGCAGAGGCAGAAGAGGGTTGGAATGAAGACTCCAAAGGCCACCAAGATGGGAAACATGAGGCTGCTGTTGTCCGAGGCATAGGGGTTAGGTGTGCGGGGGCCTGACTGCACCCGGTTCTTATTGGTCTGTTTTTTGAGATTAGACCCTTCATCATAATCTTCTTCTTCTTCCTCCTCTTCTTTCTTCTCCAATCCTGGATGAGGCTGAAGCTTTGGCACGTCTAACACAAGAAAGAAAACACCCGTTAAGTAAGACCCACAGCAATTAAGTGAGACCCTTAAGACTAGCAAATGAGCTATAATAGTAAAGGAACCCCTATGACCTAGCCAGGGTCCATAGGAAAGACCAGAAGTAGCAGAAATAACCTTCTGGCCTACAGAACAGCAAAGTGCTACAAAAACTAGTCTTTTTTAGGCATAACTAAAAGCCCTGCCCAGAGGGAGGCTCATTATTCTCCCTTCCTGTCTTACTTCATAGCCCCCAAGAGAACCAGACTGAACAGGAACAATGACCCGAAACCCAAAATCTAACCTTTTAAAATCCCTCTTCCTCCTTCCCACATGCCCATATTCCCTTTCAATTCACACAGCAACTGAAGAAAAGCTGATCCCCAGAATTTTGGGTTCTTAACACACATTAACCCCTCTGTCCTGCCTCCTCCTATGGACTTGAGTACAGGTCTGTTTGATGGTAAGACATCCTCCTAGATGTTTTAATATTAGCATTTAGGGAGAACATCAAGATAATAAGATGAGATCCCCAGTGCATTCAAGATAAGTTGGAAAAAAGGCCCGGGGGGGGGGGGAGGTTGGGGGAGAAAAACCACTAAGACATAGGCTTTCTTGCAAAAATCAATCTGGGAGGGTGATAGACAGGATATTCTAAACCCTGAGAAAGAACACACCCTAAGGCTGGATCCCAAAGGATGAGGAGACATAATAAAGTTAACTTTTGTCCCAGTGCAGTCCAGCAATGCTGGAATCTTTCAGGGCATACCAAAACGCTAAAACACTCCTCCCTTTACCTTTTTCTCCTGGGAAAGCTTGGAAACAGATGTCAAACAAAGAAACAGAGTAAGGACAAGTTTTTGGTGATTCCAAATGACTACAAGGGTCAGGACACACTAAGAGGTACCATTATTAATCCCAATTTACAAGGAAGTTAAAGGAATTTATCCAAGACCAAACAGCCGATCAAATGGCTACAAGAAGATACGAACACAGACCTTACTCTAAAGCTTATAGCTAGCATCATGTTATACTTTATCCTCATCCATCTGACTCCACATTCCCCACAATTTGGCTTCAAGTGTTTCCAAAATAGTGATCAGCTGAATTATCTCCCAAGGATTTCCTGAACCATATCCTACAGCCCAAATCAAAAAGCAGAGTAAAACACAACTTACCATCCACTGTCCCAGCCATGATGTAGAGTGCACAGACTTTGGGATTGTCGTAATACCCCTACAAAATGGGAAACAGTGGTCAACTCCACACAGCAGCAGGTATCTTCTCCCACACCCACTCTTCTAAGCCCATCCTTAGCTGTGAGGCAGAGTAGGGCTGTTACCTTGACAAACTCAATGTAGAGTTTCCCTGTGAAAGTTGACACCTCCCCCTGGACACTCAGCTTCCCCTTTCTGATGCTCATAGGGATGATTTCATCATGAGCTGTGCTGTGCCCAACACGATCAAAGATATCCAAGTCCTTCACCACGACATGGCCATTCAATCGAACATCAAATACCTTCCAGAATTAGAAAAGGAGACAAATGTCAAAACTACCACCTTCACATCCCTTCAAGCAGTTTGAACATTATGCACCTGCCTGAGCTTCAAGTTCAAAAATGATGTAAGAAATGATGAGGCTAGGCTCAGCACCTGTGGCTCAAGTGGCTAAGGCACCAGCCACATACACCTAAGGTGGCGGGTTCGATTGCAGCCCGGGCCGCCAAACAACAATGACCGCTGCAACCAAAAAATAGCCAGGCATTGTGGCGGGCGCCTGTGGTCCCAGCTGCTTGGGAGGCTGAGGCAGGAGACTTGCTTGAGTCTAGGAGTCTGAGGTTGCTGTGAGCTGTGATGCCACAGCACTCTACCCAGGGGGAGAGCTTGAGGCTCTGTCTCAAAAAAAAAAAAAAAAAAAAAAAAAGAAATGATGAGGCTAGATATATGCCAGAGTGACTGGAGTCCTTTACCTGGGCCAAATCAATGCTATGTTCCTTCACTGCCAAGGAGGTTTCAAATTGGCCTTAATGAACAAAGAATATAAACAGAAAACTCAGCATGGAAAGAAGGAAATTTACAGGAAGGGACAGAGGAAAAGAAAAAGGCTAAAAACAAGGTTAGCCAGGAGAGCTTTAACAGGATCCA